GCACTAAGAATGTAAGTCATCCAGACCTGTTTGCCCACACACACAAGGTCACATACATTCACTCCTGTTTGCACATACCGATGCACAGGAAGCGGCAGTCATATGTATGCATATTTGTGTGTGCAGATATACACACACTTACTGGAAACCTGTACCCAAAGGGTATGCACACACAGCAAATGTGCATCTTGGGTACTTCCTGAAGCTCCAGGGATCCGCTCTAACACCTTTTTCTAGATTCATTCAAGAGGCGACAAATATTCGTTGAGTAATACCATGTGCCAGGAGCCATGCTTAGGGCTGGGGTGAACACAAAGGTCAAACAAGAAACCCTGCTTCTCCGCTTCTTTGCTCTTCTGACCACAAAGGCCAGGGACAGGTGGCATTTTTTTTTTTTTTTTTTTTGAGACGGAGTTTCACTCATGTTACCCAGGCTGGAGTGCAATGGCGCGATCTCGGCTCACCGCAACCTCCGCCTCCTGGGTTCAGGCAATTCTCCTGCCTCAGCCTCCTGAGTAGCTGGGATTACAGGCACGCACCACCATGCCCAGCTAATTTTTTGTATTTTTAGTAGAGACGGGGTTTCACCATGTTGACCAGGATGGTCTCGATCTCTTGACCTCGTGATCCACCCGCCTCGGCCTCCCAAAGTGCTGGGATTACAGGCTTGAGCCACCGCGCCCGGCCACAGGTGGCATTTTTATGGCCCTTGGTTTTCATGGCTACTGAATTATCTAAAAGTCTAGGTGAAAAGCACATATATGCAACAGCTACCTGGATCCACAGAGGTTGTTACACTAACCTGGGCTTTTTTTTTCTTTCTTTCTTTCTTTTAAGATGGAGTCTGCTCTGTTGCCCAGGCTGGAGTGCAGTGGCACAATCTTGTCTCACTGCAACCTCTGCCTCCTGGGTTCAAGCAAGTCTCCTGTCTCAGCCTCTCCAGTAGCTGGAACTACAGGCGTGCACCACCACGCCCAGCTAATTTTTGTATTTTCTAGTAGAGATGGGGTTTCTCCGTGTAGCCAGGCTGGTTTAAACTCCTGACCTTAGGTGATCCGCCTGCCTTGGCCTCCCAAAGTGCTAGGATTAAAGGTGTGAGCCACTCTGCCTGGCTAACCAGGTATTTGATTTGACTAGTCCAGCCCAGTACTGATGAGCTCAGAGCTGGAGAGTCACGGCATTCCTAAGAAGCTTGCCCTCTGTTGCTATCCCCCAAAGGTCTTTAGGGATGGTTGAGTAGGTTGTGCACTGCACAAGAGTGCCCTGTTGTGAAGGTACCAAGCCTAGTGCCAGAAGAAAGACCACCTTTTTCAAATCGGTCCACCTTTTTCAGGAGAGATAAGGAAGAAGCTTCCTTTTTCTAGGAGACCAGCCCAGAGAGAGTGTCCTTGTCTGATTGGTCAGTCTAGAGGAGGCAGCTTATGTTAATTTGCACAAAAGTGCAGCAGTACTAGCAGTTGCCCTATAACTGTTTTCTTTTCAGGGCTCCTGAAAGTCTGGCTGTCTCTGCTTCTCTCCGCCACCTTGACCCTGACATTTCAGTGACTGACAGCAGAAAGCCCTATGCTCCATGGCTGCCAGCTCACCTCCTGCTGGGCAGAGGGCATGATGCAGGCCAGCACTCCAGCCACAGAAAAGGGAGTTCATGCTTTGGTCAGCCTGCCTTCTTTTCTCCCCCTTAATCCTGGCTGTCGAGAAACAGCCTGTGTCTTTAAATGCTGCTTTCTCTCAAAATGGGACTCGTGATGGTGTACCCTGAGGCCCCTGTCTCCTAAGAGAATGTGGCAAAATAATGATTTTTAATCTCTGTCTTTGAAGTCATCCATTCATTCAACAAGTATTTACTGAACTCTACCATGTAATAAACATGTGTGATGCTAAGGATCCTATGGTGGGAAAAACAGCCCCATGCCCTGTCCTCATGGAGTTCAGTCTGCTTGGTAAGGCTGGGTTCTGCTGTGTGACCTTAGATAGGATACACAATGTCTCTGAGCTTCATCCATTCATTCATTCATATTTGCTGAGCATCTACTATGTGCCAGGCACTATGTGCTAGATGCCAGGGACATAGCAGTGAACGAGGCAGACATAATCCCTGCCCCAGCCTCCCACCCCCAGAGTTTTCTATCTGTTAGGAGAGAGAGAACTTGAACAAGTAATTCTAAGTAGGTCAGGCACTTCAGAAATGAGGCCATAGGCCAGGTGCAGTGGCTCGTGCCTTTAATCCCAGCACTTTGGAAGGTTGAGGCGACAGTGAGGATCACCGCCGCCTCAGCCTTCCAAAGTGCTGGGATTAAAGAGTTTGAGATCAGCCTGGGCAACAAGACCCCACCTCTACAAATAAAAATTTTAAATTAACTGGGCATGGTACCACGTGCCTGTAGTTCCAGCTACTTGGGAGGCTGAGGTGGGAGAATCCCTTGACCCTGAGAGGTCAAGGCTGCAGTGAGCTGAGATCGTGCCAATGCACCCTAGCCTGAGTGACAGAGCAAGATTCTGTCATAAAAAAAAAAAAAAGGAACAATAAATGACAGTGTACCAGGGCCTGCTGATTCTGTCTCACGGAGACAATAGTGATGGCCTCAGAAGGTTCATTCAGTTTTCCAGAAACATTTATCTGAGCATGTCATATCTGCCAGGCACTGTGGTAGGTGCTGGGAAACACTGATTAATAAGACAATTAAACACTGATGAGTAAGTCCCTGCTTATAGGAGTCTCCCAGTCCTTAGAGATAATAAGGAGTAAGCAAGTCATGGTCAGGTACCTGAATATCCTCAGGACTCCCTCCAATCATTGGACATCTCCCTCCCAATCCAGAAGGTTCCCTGGAAGACCAACTTCCAGAGACACACCAAGAGTGGAGAACAGATCCATGACCCCCCTTTGTAGGGGATGCTTTGTGGGTATGGAGGTCCCCCAGGATGGGGCGGCTGGTTACAGGAGACCAAGATACCCCTCTGGTCTCTGGACTTCTGTGCCACTTGGATAAAAGAAATCCAATTTCTATGGGAACTCTCTGCTCTGCCACCAGCTGCTTCCCTGGACTCCAGCTGTGGCTTTTCACGAGAGGCCAAGGCCCTCCTTGGCACACTATTAGAACCCTTTGATCCCAGGAAAAGCCACACGTGTGTATTGGCAAATGGGGGCTGCTAGGACAGTGTGTCTTAAGTCAAGGGGCCTCTTATCACACTGACACACATGGAAAACCTTGACATAAGAGCTGTGGAGGAAGACCATGGGCTGATCCCAGCCCCTGTCCACTGTCGGGCCATGACTGACAGCGTACACATTCATCTGTGCTTGCACTCCGATACAACAGGACATAAAGGAAAAATCTGTGCCAAGATCAATAAAGCCATAGAGACAAGGACCAAAGACAAGACCTGGCAGGGGAAAGAAAGCACATCAGAATTACTCCTTCAGTCGCTCGGTTCTTTTTCGTTGCCTTTCTTGTTTTCTATCAATTATTCAGCTCAATGTATTCAACAGATATTTTGAGCATAAATTCAATGCCAGGCAATTTAAATGTACCATGGAAACAGCAAATAATCAAAACAGAGCCCTTGCTGGTAGAGAGCTTATATTTAAAAGGCAGATACATTTAAACAACTATGTGCAATGTGATAGATGGTGACAATTTCTGACGGGGAAGAAAAAGCAAGGATGGGTGATAGAGCAATATGGGTGTTATTGGATGTAAAATGATCAGAGAAAGCCTCTCTGCTGAGCAGAGGCTAAAAGAAGTGAAGGAATGAACCAAGGGCATATCTGAAGAATGGCAGGCAGAATAGCAGGTGTGAAGGTCCTGAGGTAGGATCTTGTGTCTGTCCTCTAAGACTGACTCCCTACACTTGGACAGCCTTAAGTTTGAAGAATTGCTCACTGTAGAGGGTCTGGGGATGCATGTGATGAATTTGCTCATGTGTTTACTCAAGAATTACGTACTAAGTACTGATTAGAACTGCAGAGACAGGCTCCCTGTCCACAAATATCTTTTTTTTTTCTTCTTTTTTGGAGACAGAATCTTGCTCTGTTGCCCAGGCTGGAACACAGTGGCATGATCTAGGCTCACTGTAATCTCTGCCTCCTGGGTTCAAGCGATTCTTCTGCCTCAGCCTCTCGAGTAGCTGGGCCTACAGGCATGCACCGCCACACCTAGATAATTTTTGTATTTTTAGTAGAGATGGGGTTTCACCATGTTGCCCAGGCTGGTCTTGAACTCCTGACCTCAAGTGATCTGCCCGCCTTGGCCTCCCAAAGTGCCTCCCAAAGTGTTGGGATTACAGGCATGAGCCACCACACCTAGCCTCTGTCCACAAATTTCTTAACAGCTTTTAGAAGGAGACAGATAAGTTGGCAGGTGAATGCGATTGGAATTAGCCCTTTGAGACCTAGGAGCAAAGAAGAGGTGTACCTGTGGAGTTAGGAAAGACTTCCTGGAAGACGTGATAACATAGGAGGAAGCTGGGTGTAGAATGATGCAGGCTGAGGGAATAGCGAATGCAAAGGCTTGAAGATGAGGAAGAGGCCAGACAACCACAGATTGCCTCGAGCAAGCAATGTGTGGTGGAGAAGTTGTAGGTGAGGTTGGAACTGTAAATAGGGGTCAGATCCCAGGGAGCATAGAGTGCTGGGAATGGGAGATAATGCCAACCAGCCGATGTTACATTGATCTCTGGCTGCAGGGGAGAGAACAGAAACAAAAAGAATAAAAATGAAAGCAGAGAGACCCATTAGGCAGCTATTAAAATCACTCTGGACAGGGTACAGAGGCTCAGGGCTGTTATCCTGGCACTATGGGAGGGCAAGGCAAGAAGATCATTTGAGCCAAGTGTTTAAGACCAGCCTGGGGAACAGCAAGACGCTGTCTCTACAAAACAATTTAAAAGTTAGCTAGATGTGGTGGCCCACAACTGTAGTCGCAGCTACTCAGGAGGCTAAGGTGGGAGGATTATTTGAGCCCAGGAGATCAAGGCTGCAGTGAGCCTGTGATCACGTAACTGCCCTGTAGCCTGGGCAACAGAGTAAGACCCTTGCTCAAAAAAAAAAAAAAAAAAAAAAAAAATTACCTTCATAAGGAATGATGGGCTGAATTTAGATTGGTGAGGTGCTGATGGAGAAGAAAGGATTATTGGAAATGGGGGTAGAGGGAAAAAGAAAGGAGCTTGGAAAGGAAGAGGCCAAGTTTCTAGCTTAGATGATTGGGAGGGCAGTGGCGCCTTTGATTAAAATCAATGATACAATGAGGAGGAGGAGATTTGGGGAATTCAGTGAGCTCAGAGTTGCATTTGCTGAGTTTGAGGTGTCTCAAGCATCTCAGCTGCAGTGAGGGGTCCAGCAGTCAATAGGTAGATGGAACTGAAGTTCAAGGGAGTAGCAAAAGCTGGGAATACAGATTCAGAACTCACCAGCCTGGAGACAGTGTGTGAAACCATGAGATACCTTGATACCTCCTAGGGAGAGTTCATGAAGTGACAAGAAAAATGGGACCTAACCAGCATTCCTAGGGACAGGATCTTGCAGCAACAGAGCAGAAATCTCCAAGTAGAAATAGGAGAATCACCAAAATACTATCATGTGGAGTCAAGGAAATGCAAGGTACCCAGAAAAAGCAGTAAGCAAATCCAATCACAAAGGAGCAGAAACAAACTACACAGTGGATTTGGCTATGAGACCATCTTAGCAGGGAGGTTTTGGCTGCATGGTTCAGATTGGAATGGAGAGGTCAGGAGAGGGATGGAGGAACTGACTTTGAAAAGGAGGAAGATCGCCCTATCAGAAGTTGGAGGGGAAGGAGTGGAGGACGGAAGCCATTATTTATATGTTTATAGGGGAAGGAGAGAGGCCAAGTGTTGTGGCCTAAATTGTTTTTGAAGTAGGGTTCAAGATACCTGCTGAGAGTGAGTGGATGATGATAGCCTCAGAGACCATTTAAGGGGAATTGGAAGGTTAAGACGGGCCACTAGGAAGACGGGTGAGCACCCAGCTGGATTGAATGGATCAGTAGGCTATTTAGTGGGTCCCAGTTGTTATAAGTTCCACATTTTAGAGACTTTTCTCCAGCTGCTCTAGGAGTAGAGAAGGTGGCTTGTAGCACCTTTTCTTTTTCCAGGTTGAGGTTTTATAGAAGGTGTTACCAATGCCAAGATCCTCTGGCTCCCTTGCCTCCAGTTGCCTTGGCTCCTTAAGGAGCCCCAAAGTGACACAAAAGAGACTGCCATTTTTTTTCTGAGAAAGCTTTGGCTCTTTTATTAAGTCATGATTTCTACCATGGCATGAAGACCAGGTCCAACCCTGGAATTTAAAAGTCCAAGAAACTCTACAGCCTCTTCTCAATCTCATGCCTTCCAATCTCTAGGGCAGGCTACATATCAAAAGGGATTAGAACAGAGGCTACTCTGATGCTTCTTTTGTCCAGGAAGCTTTGTCTGTCCTTTGCCGTTCCAAAATCCATCATCACCATATTAGCCATTCCCAGACTCCTCAGCATTGGAAATCTGGAGTTGGGTGGATTCTAGGGACCAAGAAATGGAATTCTATGGAAACATCCACACTCCCTCCCTTTCTTTCCTTATTTTCCTCCTTGCTGTAACTGGCCCCAAGCTCAATGGCCTTCAGGAAAAAGCAGAAATGTTCCAAGATGATTAGCTAGGAACACAAGGAACAATTGAAAATCCATTGTGCAAACAACTGCCTGTTTGATTTTCTCTTTCCTTCCCTTTGGGCATTGAGCTTCCTTTCAATTTGTGTTTGGTTTCTGGTAATAAATATAGCACCAGTGCCATTGATTTATTATGAAGATTAAATATGAGAAATCGTGGAGGTAAAGTAGTGTCCAGTGTGTTCAGCCTTCAGCACACGGCACTATTGTTTGTAGGAAGCATTTGCAGGATGCTGAGGCACCTGGAAGGGTTTACATTGTGAGGGGAGGGCCCTTCTTTTACCATCCTTTGCGTAAATGGTTTATCTCACCTCCATTCAACAAGCCCAGTGTGTGACCTAGAACTCCGATCATACCTGTGCACCAATTGAGGAGAGCCACATGGGTGGGAAATTGCAATAAAAAGCCCACAGCAGGCTGCATTCCCATGGTTGGCCCTAGGAGGAGGAACGCTTTGTTCTCACTGGAGGTAAGTCCTGCTTTAAGTCCCGGGAGGCTTTCTCCTAATCTTGGGAAATCTTGACCCACTGGGCTTCCTAGGGTTTTTTGTTTCTGGAAATTTTCAGAACCCAGCAAGGAGTATGGACCCTGGCCATTGTCAAGTTCTCCAGATACCACTCTATGTCCAACTCAGCCATGCTTCCAGTCATCTCCCAAGCACCAGGCCTAGAGATGCCACACTCTCCCTTGCCCCAGATGCCCCCACCGGGGAGCCAGGCCTCCACTTGCGATCTCATCTCTAAGAATCACCAGTCCTGGGTGCACCTCATCCCTACTATCTCATGCATACTCACTATGTCCCTGCCAGAAACAAATCTCTATTTTCCACTGAAGTCTTTCAGAGGTTGTAGGAAGTTATCCAAAGATTTGCCCATTCAGGGAAAGGATTTCCCAGAAAAGTAAATACCATCTGAATGTTGGCAGGCTTTTTGCAGCTCTTTCTTTCTGCCTCACAACCCCCCAGCCCCCACTGATTCATTTATTCATCCCTTAATCCTCTACTGAGTACCCGTTGTGTGTCAGATTCTGTGCGAGGAGCAAGGAACAGGGGACTCAGTTTGGCATGGTTTCACACTCACAGAAATCTGCATGCATAGAGGACATTTCAGGGGGCTCTTAGCAACACCAGTGCATAAAACTAAGAAAGGGCAGCCACTACTTTTGTGTGCGGGTATTCACAGTCACCGTATCCCTCTTTCTCTATCCAATCTCCAGAGAGCCTCTACCTCCACCTGAGCAGGGGCCATCCTGAGACCCTTCTAGGACATTCTGGAGTACCAACCAGCTCTAAGCTTGCCTTTGGTTTGCTTACTGTCAACTTCATACCCCTGGCAAGTCTCCTACTTCCATTATCTCACTTCATCTGTCCACAAGTCACACCTACTTTGAAACAATGCAGCTCTTCATGAAGGAAGTCAACAGTTCTGTTTCTGAGAACATAGACCTATGCCCTGATGTTACCTGGATCTTTCCTTTCCCATAGCTGCATGGGAAGTCTGCATACAGCAGAGTGACCTGCATGCCTCACCTTATGGAAAGGATGGTGGGCTCTGGCCTCCTGTGGCTGGCCTTGGTCTCCTGCATTCTGACCCAGTCATCTGCGGTGCAGCAAGGTAAGTAAGTATTCTGCTCACCTGGCGTCTCAGCTGTCGAGGGGAGTGAGGATAGAAGTGCAGAGAAGGTGGCTCAGGTAAGGAAGAGGAATTGGCAGCTCTAAAGCAAAAACTCAGAGCTAGAAGTCAAGGGAAACATAAGGAGAAAAAATGGAAATCAAGTTACAATCTCTCAAAGACCCTAATCAGAAATTCTCCTGAAAGGACAGTGGGAGCCATTTAACATGACTTCTTACGCCCATATCTTTGGGAGATCAGAGAGCCCAAATTAAAGAAGATCAAGAAATATATAACCCGGTCACCTTGTACTGGCAAGTGCCTTCTCCTTTTCCTGAAAGGACTAGATTAAGTGATCTCTTTGGTGTTTTCCAAAGATCTATGAATTGGGCAATTCAGATACTTGCAGAAAGGAATCTCAGGTTTAGAATTAGAGTGCAAATTTCAGCCCTGTGGAGGAGGGTGGGTGAGGGAACTGAGCTCATTGGGGGCTTCCAGTGGAAAAATACAGGGTGTGCAAGAAATAATCTAAGAATAACAAATGCAGTGATTGCTTGTTTTAAAATAAGTAAATGCATGAGCAAAGATTGAAAATCTCTTTTTCAGAAAGGCCCTTATAATGTGTATTATAAGCATGTGCAAAGCTTGAAAATCTCTTTTTCCAGAAAGCCCCTTTAATGTATTATAAGCACATGATCTTGTGTGTGCACTTAGATCCTTCTTCACGCATGCACAGCATTCAGCAAATCAGAACTAGAAAAGAGAATTAGCTTTGACCCTGGTGCTGTGCTTGGCATTTTATACGTATTATCTCATTTAATCCTCTAACAATTGTTTAAGGCTTTCTTTCCCCAAATGGGGCGTATATATCCCAAGATGATTCTGGGGGTGCCTGGCAAACTCTTAACCAGTTTTTAATTGCTGTATGTTTATTTTTATGCATATCTAAAGAATATGACTAGTACACTATATGTATGTTATCACAGATGTTATTCTTTAAGACGAAACTAATTCTTGAAGAAGAATCATTGAAAGAAACATTTTAAGTCAATAATAGGACAGGCAAACACATGTATGGCAACATGACCCAAGGCATAGGAACAGATAAAGTTTGAGAACCACTGGTTCACAGGTGTGGTTTTGCCAATGAGTCTCAGGGGACTTAAGTCACCTGCCAAGGTCACCCAGCCAGCAGGTGTGGAATTGGATTTAAACTCAGCCTGACCAGCCTGTGGTCTTCCTCCTTCACTTCTCTTCTCTTCATATGTCACAGTTTCTAAAACTGTCTTTAAAAATGGTAGATCAACAGTCAAACATGGTCTTATTAGATCAGTGGTTCTCACTTGGGGGTAATGTCTTCCAGGGGACATTTGGCAATGACTGGAGACCACTTTGGGGCATGCTGCTGGGATCTGGTAGGTAGAGGCCAAGGATACTCCCAAACACTCTACAATGCACAGGATGGCTCCTCCAATAAAGAATGATCCAGCCAAAATGTCGATAGTGCCAAGATTGGGAATTGTCGTGTGTTTACTGTGCTACTGGTGTGGAAAAACATCTATGCTCCATTAAGTAAAAAAATGCAAGTGAAAAAAGACGTTGCACAGAATTAAACTTATCTTTATTTTTAAGGAAGCAATATATTTTAAACATCCCTAGGAATAATCTTAAGGCTATATAACAAATTTATGGTTACTTCTGGGTATGAGACGGGCTTATGACAACTTTCATTTTGCTTTATTCATTTTAATGATGTTTGAGGTTCTTTTTCAGTGAGTCTGTATTACATTTATAATGAGAAAAACAAATATTGGTCAAACAAGGCTGCTGTACATGGATGCACAGGAAAAAACTTTGTTACTCTGAGGTGGGGAGGGAGGCTGTGCAGGACGGTGACCCTGATGTCCTCAATGCCTGTAACATACCACAGAAGGTCCTCACTGATTATTCTGACCCCAAGGTGATGAAATTGATGTTTAATTAATGGATTCTGTGTGTATTATCTCATTGGAGTCCTTAGCATAGCCAAAATAGAGCATGGAGGGGAAAAAATCCTGAAGGTTGTGGCATTGCTCAGTAAACTCAACTACACTCTGTCACTTTCCCAGGTTATAGAAACCCCGCTGCAGCCAGTTCCTATGGGCTGGACTTGGACTGCGGAGCTGACAGCTGTTTTGACCCCTGTCAGAACTACACCCTCCTGGATGAACCCTTCCGAAGCATAGAGAACACAGAAAGGGCCCAGGAGTGTGATAACAACATGAGCGGCTGGTACCGCTTTGTAGGGGAAGGAGGCGTGAGGATGCCGGAGACCTGTGTCCCTGTGTACCGATGCCAGACAGCTGCTCCCATGTGGCTGAACGGTGCTCACCCTGCCTTTGGGGATGGCATTGTCAACCGCACTGCCTGTGCCCACTGGAGTGGCAACTGCTGTCTCTGGAAGACGGAGGTGCTGGTGAAGGCCTGCCCTGGTGGGTACCATGTGTACTGGTTGGAAGGCACTCCCCAGTGTAATCTGAGATACTGTACAGGTAAGCAGCAGAGCCCTGGAGAAGGCAGCTACACAGTCAATGAGATGCCCCCCAGCCTCAGTAGAGTGAGTGGAGCAAGTGAACAGGAGACAGGAGAGGGTGCAGAGGAGCCTCTACTCAGCTCCTGCCCAGCGAGAACGCAACACAGGGGCTGCCAGACCTTCCGACATTTCAAGTAAAGCCAGAAATTCCCATTCATGGGTGAAATCTCCCAGTTTATAAATGTGTATAGCATAAAATCTAGAACTCATACTCATTCAGATTTTGTCTCCATTTGGGCAGTTTAATTTGCCTCCCCGAGCCTCAGTGTTCTGATCTGAATAAAAGTGGGTAAAGGCAAAAATAACAGCTAACACATAATGCTCATAATGTCCCTGTTGCTATCCTAAGTACTTCAAATGCATTAACTCATTTGATCCTCTCCCCAGTTCCATGAGATAGTGCTACCTAATTACCCCAATGAGGGGCACAGAGAGATTAAGGAGCTCTCCTAATATCATAGAGCTGGAGCATGGTAGAGCTGGGATTTGAACTTGGCATTCTAGCTCCAGCATCCATGAGCTTAACCACCATGCTGTGCTTTCTCATGTTGATTGAATGGACTAATACACGCATTGTTCTTAAAACAGAGTCTTGCCTGTAATAAGTGTTCAGGTGGCAGTTTCAGGGTTCTCACTTATTCTACTGGACTGTGAGTCAGGAAATCTGAGTTTGAGGCTTGATGCTTCCACTAAGTATTGCACAGCCTTGGCAAGATTCTTGTGCCCTGGTGGAATGAAAGAGTTGGGGGCTTCAAGTCCACCCCACACTGCATCCTGATCTTCTCCCTCCATGCCCATCTCCTAGACCCCTCCACTGTGGAGGACAAGTGTGATAAGGCCTGCCGCCCTGAGGAGGAGTGCCTCGCCTTCAACAGCACCTGGAGCTGTTTCTGCAGACAGAACCTCAACAGCTCTGGTGAGCAACTCACTGGGCCAGTGATTACCATCCTGAGTGGGTAGGGCAGGAGGGAGGGAGCTTTAGAGGGTGATGATAAGGTATAAAGCCGAGTCGGGGACCTGGACCTGAAGTCAATGGGCTCTCCAATCCACTTGCTGTAAAGCCAGTGGGTTTGCTACGATAGCAGAGCAGGGTTGGAGCAAATTTCCAGGTCAGCTGCTGGGGCACGGCCTCATGACATGGTTCTGACATTGGCAGGCTTGACCCCTGAGGGATGAAGGCACTGAAGATGAGAATTCTGAAAGTGTGGGAGCTATGTTTTCATAGCCACAGGGTCTTCATGTCAGGGACCAGGGCAGACTTCTGGGGACAAGTCACTACTGTCTCTGATCCTGAATGTCCTCATCTGTAAAATGAGGATAAGGTAATCATAATACCCACCATACAGGGCTATTGTGAGAACTAATTCAGAGCAGTCCAATTGGGCAGGCTCAAGAGGTGATGAGTTTCTTGTCCCAGAAGGTGAGCAAGCAGAGTGAGATGGCTCATGGGTAGAGATGTCATAGACAAATAAGCACTAAGCCCTGGATGGAATGGACGAGTCTCCCACTGAGATTATTTTCCTCCATCACTGAACTCTAAGGGCCTTTGATCTTGCTCTTGGCACAAGCATGTCTTCCTCCGAGCACACGCCCCGTCCCTATGGAAGACAGTGTTCTAGGCAGCAGGACAAGAAGGAGCATGACGCATTTGGAAAGCGGGGCTGCAGTGTGAACAGGGTGATGCTTAGATGTGCTCAGCAGAAGCAGCCTGGGATGAGGGGCAGGAAACAACCAACAACCTTGATCTCCTTGAAGACTTTCTGCACATTGGGTGGATGAGGCCCCAGAGAGTCAGTGTGGTTTTCCGGGGTTCGGGCCTATCACAGTCAGACTTTCGGCTTTGAGGATGCCCTCCCTGTACCTAGATGGGCTCCAAGGACATCCTCAGCTGACTGAGTGAGCACGTGTCTTCCTCACATCTTCATCAGTGGCCAGCAGAATGGTGGCTGTCCAGTGGGCGCCATTGCTTGCAGACACATCCCTCTGTGATCTGACTTTCTCTTCCTTCTCCATCTCCCACACTCCCTTCTCATTTTAGGTTGCTGCACCTCTGAACTCTGCAGCTCCACAAATGCACCATCCCCTGTATCCCATCTCCATGCTTTTGCCTCTGCTGTTCCTTTAGCCTGGGCTGCTTTCACTTGCTTTACTCACTTGCAAAACTCCTACCGTCCTTTCAAGTTTCAGCTCACTATGATTCCTTCCCTGGCTTCATCAAGAGACTTAGATAGACCTTCTTCTGTGCGCCCCCGGAATCTGTACATACTTCTGTCTGTATCTTTATCATATTGAAGTATAATGAGCTATTGGTATGTTGGTGTTTACACAAGACCAAGAAATCCTCATGGGCCGAGTCCATGTCTTACTTTATTTTGAATGCACCTAGCACTTGGGAAGGTGGTTGGTAAAGTGGCTCATGCCTGTAATCCCAGAACTTTGGGAGCCCAAGGCGGGCAGATTGCATGAGGTCAGGAGTTTGAGGCAAGCCCGGCCAATATGGCAAAACCCTGTCTCTATACAAATACAAGAATTAGCTGGGTGTGGTAGTGCACGCCTATAATCCCAGCTACTTGGGAGGCTGAGGCAGGAGAATCTCTTGAATCCAGGAGGCAGAGTTTGCAGTGAACTGAGATTGTGCCACTGCACTACAGCCTGGGCAACACAATAAAACTCTGTCTGAGAGAGAGAGAGAGAGAGAGAGAGAGAGGAGGTGGTTGGTAAATATGTGCTCAATCAATGCATTCATGAATGTAATAGAAACTGTATTTCTATTAGTGCACTATTTGTCCCCCCTATTCAAATGTCAGCTCCATAAGAGTGACAATTTTGTCAGTTTTGGTAAGTGTTGTAGCCCCAGTGCCTGACAGACAGTAGACACTCAAGAAGTTGTGTGTTGAATAAATGTTGTGCTAATGCATATGATAGCTCTGAGCCTGGTCAGATGTGCTGGCTCAACAAGGTAGCATATATCTAACTTTGATTCTAGTATGGAATGCAAGTCCATCCTGCCTCCGCAAATAACCCAATCCCCAATGGGAACTAGACTGAAAAACCTTAGCCAAGCCTGCACATAGGATGCTTGGAAATCTTGAATACGAGGACTGTTTGCCAACCTCACGTACTGCCAGTCTAGGCATGAATTTCATCTGGATCCCAAGGACCGTCTAGTCTACATAATCTTCTGGGTCATGGAGAGTTTACCAAAGAGTAGGGAAAGTGGGCTTCCGGACTTGTATCCATTTCACTTGCCTTCATCTCTGCTCTGTAGAAGCCCACAGTTTGCAGCCTCAGCTGGACTGCGGAGCCAGGGAGATGAAGGTGAAGCTGGACAAATGTTTGCTGGAAGGCGTGGGTTTGGGGGAGGAGGTCATTGCCTACCTGAGAGACCCAAACTGCAGCAGCATCATACAGACAGAGGAGAGAAACTGGATATCTTTGACCAGCCCTGTTCAGGCTGGTGCCTGCAGGAACATTCTGGAGGTAAGTGGCTTTCACACCACTGCTTGCCAGAAGGTATGTTTGGGCTGATGGGACCTATCATAGTAGCTCTGAGATCTTGGACAAGCCACTTAGCTTTACTGGGTCCCCAGGGTTATGTGAGCGTACCCACATTTGTTTACATAAAGAGCTTAGTATAAGTCTGACATGTGAGTTTCATAAATGTAAGCTACAATTATGATGATTTTAATTAGGGCTGATGGGGGAGGGATACACAAAGAAGCAAGCTGGTTGATTCCTGACTCTTCCCAAGGGTCAATAATTTATTGTTCTAGTTTTTTATCTGGTGTCCTCATTCCCCTTCCCATAAAGTATCGATAACACTGAAAGAGAGATCCCTTTACCTCCTTGAGCTCAGAAGGCAGGGTGGCTGCATGGTTGAGCACATTGACTCTGGAAATCAGATCTGGATTTGAGATACACCTACACACACATATACATAAAGATCTGTGTGGTTTTGTTTTTATGCCAAAGAGAAATCAAACCCATGTCATCTACAAAAACACCCTCTCCTTGGTCAATGATTTCATCATCAGAGACACCATCCTCAACATCAACTTCCAATGTGTCTACCCACTGGACATGAAAGTCAGCCTCCAAGCTGCTTTGCAGCCCCTTGTAAGGTATGACATCAACCCTTGCCCTTTGACCCCTAACCCTGGCAATAGTCACATCACACTCACTTCAAGTGCAGACTATGATGCCCACACCATACTGCCAACCTCCTCCAGAAGCTTCCAGTCATTCAATCATTCGTTCCACAAGCATTCACTGATTGTATATTAAAGATGTTCAGCATGAACAAGGCAGACGTAGATTATTCTGTGAATATTAGAGATTAGTGTAACTATGCAATTCAATAACATGAAACGGTGCGTACTAAATGTGCTAGAAAACAAAAACACAAGGCAAGTTCATTCACCTTGAGGAACAAAAGTATTAAACAACTAATTAAATCAATACTTATTTACAAGCAAGATGGATGTAATGTAGGAGAAACGTGGGGTACTTTGGGAGCAGGGAAAGGGGTCCCAGATCCCTGTTGGTAGTGGGTTTAGTGGAGACAGGACAGCTTCCCTGCAAACATGAGATTTAAGCAGAGACCAGCTTTTAATGGATAAGCAGCACCCCTGTCCCCAGCAGAAATGGCATCATATAGCAGTTTGGGAGAATTCTATGTGAGCAGGGGCTTTTGTCTGTTTTGTTGTGTTTCTGTTCCAGAAATGGGGCCCTGTTGAATCAGTTCTTTAGCATTCCTAGACTTGCCAGGGGACTTTCTGTGGTGTCAAAAAATCCAGAGTGCCCATCTCATTCCTTATTGCCCCCTGGGCTCACAAAGCAACAGGATCAGAAGGATTAGAAATTTTCTAATTCAGTGGCTTGCAGATGGTATGGTTCTGGGGCTCCTGGTTCATAAAAAATCAAAATGAAAGCCATTTATCTTGTTAAAACTGGTGTTTCACTAAAGACTGTGGGGTGGAGGGAAGAGATCTACTGCTAAAAAATGTGAACACACAGAACTGGTTCTGAGCCCCAGTCTCCAAGTGAGAAGATGGAGGTATACACTCAGTTATTCCTTCAGTGAGGGAGATAGGTGTAACCTCTCGTGCAGGGAGGATCGGTGGAAATCCTGAAGGCAGACGTGTCTGCCAAGTTGAGTGCCTGGAAGCTAATAAATGCCTAGTTTAAATGAATGATCCAGTAGTTCACTTAACGATCCAGGATGTGTGCTGTTGCCTTCGTAAGCGTGTTAAGGAAGTGCAGGGCTTGATTTATGTTGTTCTCTCTGAGGTTCCCACTCTTGTGGCTTTCCTTTTCTCAGTTCCTTGAACCTCAGTGTGGGCGGAGATGGAGAGTTCACTGTCAGGATGGCCCTCTTCCAAGACCAAAACTACACGAATCCTTACGAAGGGGTTGCAGTTGAGCTGTCTGTTGAGTCCATGCTCTATGTGGGTGCCATCTTGGAGCAAGGGGACACCTCCCGGTTTAACCTGGTGTTGAGGAACTGCTATGCCACCCCCACTGAAGACAGAACTGACCCTGTGAAGTATTTCATCATTAGAAACAGGTAACGAGCGATTCTGGAATTACCATTTGGCCTTACTAACGTTTATAGGAAAATGTTCATCTCATCCATTCCCTGGCAGATGTGTAAGTTGTATTACATATCATAACCATACTCTTTGACCCAGAAATATCACTCCTGAGATTTTAACCTAAAGGATTAATACCAAATTGGTAGGTAGAGTAAAGAAATGTCAATATTTTCCGTTTCAATGTTCTTGATAACCTTGGCAACAGGCTAATTGTTCAGAACTAGGGGATCAATGTGGTAGTGATGGATTATTACCCAGAAGTGAACACTGGTCAATATTAAAACAAAACAATAAATGTTGTGGGATGGAGTGTTATTGAACACTGCTGACAAAAACAAGGGAAATGCATTTCTATAGATCATGATTTAAATCATAGTAATAATCCTGGCTGTATTTGTCATTGAGATTAGCTATGTGCCAAGCAATATATGTGGATTATCTGATTAAATGCTCACATCAGTCTCATAAAGTGGATATTACTGTCTCCACTTTACAGATAAGAAAAGTAAAGTTCAGCAAGGATGAGGAACTTGCCCATAATCACTTAGCTAGAATGTGGGTTGGGCTAGAATACAAGACCAGTCTGTTTCACTCCAGAGACTGTGCTCCCAAATAATTTAAGCCATGTGAGCTTATGGATAACATCTTGGAGCAAACAGAAGAATAGAAGAAGTCCATGTTGTCATGACGGAGGAGGTCTGAGGGCTCTTTAATTTTCTCCACTGCTGTTTTTAGTAGTCACACCTTTGCCCTGTCACCCTCCCAGCTGCCCAAATCAACGTGATTCCACCATCCACGTGGAGGAGAATGGGAGGTCCTCCGAAAGCCGGTTCTCAGTTCAGATGTTCATGTTTGCTGGACATTATGACCTAGTTTTCCTGCATTGTGAGATTCATCTCTGTGATTCTCTTCATGAACAATGCCAGCCTGTGAGTGTCTCTTTGGAATGAACTCTTCAGAGGCTGGCATGGAGCCTTGTACCTGATAGGCTCTTCATATATATTTATTGGAATTATAAATGGAGGGCGGATGGGAAGAAGGGGAAAGGAAAGGGAGGGAGGGGAGGGGAGAGGTAGGGAGGGGAGTGGAGAGGAAGGGAGGGGAGGGAAGGGGAATCAGAAAGGGAAGGGAGAGGGAAAAAAAGAGAGGGAGAAAGGAATACAGGAGGGATGGAGAAGGAAAGGAGGGAAGAGGAAGAAAAGAAGGAAGAAAGCAGGATGAAGAGATGGAAAGAGATGGGCAGGTGTATGGATGGGAGGGAAGGAAAAGCAAAAGATGAATAGATAGACTCTAGGTCTCCTAAAGGCCCATTTCTAAGCAATTTTTGTGTTTCCAGAAGGCAGATTTGATAAGGAAATCTGTCTACTAATTTCCACTGGCATGTGTGTGTGCGTGCATGTGTGTGTGTGTGTGTGTGTGTATGTGTGTCTGTGTGTGTGTGTTTTGAGACAGTCTTGCTCTGTTACCAGGCTGGAGTGTAGTGGCGCTATCTTGCCTCCGCCTCCCTGGTTAAAGCGGTTCTCCTGCCTCAGCCTCCCAAATAGCTGGGACTACAGGTGCATGCCACCACGCCCAGCTAATTTTTGTATTTTTAGTAGAGACGAGGTTTCACCATGTTGGCCAGGATGGCCTTGGTCTCCTGACCTTGTGATCCACCCGCCTCGGCCTCACAAAGTGCTAGGATTACAGCCGTGAGCCACCACACCCGGCCTGGCATGTTTTAAATGATTATAATCATAGATTACTTTTTTAGTGCTTGCTCTTTGTCAAGCATCATGCTAAAACTTTTGCATACCTTTTCTAATTTAACTCTCAGAACAACCCTTTAAGTAGATTATTTTATCTACCCCACTGTGAGGTTCAGAGAAGTGTTTGCCCACAGAGCCACACAGAGTTAGAAAATATCAGAGCCAGGATGTGCCCCAGCCAAGTGGTGACTCCAGTGCCCCTGCTCTTGCCTGCATTTGGCATTGCCTGTGAATAGTTGGCATTTTCCAAGTGCTTACCTTGTGCCCACATGTTGCAGGCACATCTCATTTTCACCTTCACAACCAGGTAGGTATTATTTAGTTATTGTAGAGTGGCAAAGTCATTGGCCCCAAATTATGTAGCTAAAAGAAAGTCTCCACTTGATGAGATTCAAAGCCAGATTTGTTTGAGATGACAGTAATAATTTTCTAGATCGAGATAGCCACAGCATCAGAATTAGGGCCATAGCATGAACCAGTTCTGGACCCAGTTCTTGGTCCAGAACTGCCCATTGCAGGACCACTCGAGATAGAATCCAGGCATTTACATTTTGAGTAATAAGAGTTCATCATCCCCACAGTCTTGCTCAAGAAGTCAAGTCCGCAGTGACGTACTGGCCATAGACCCAGCCCGGGTTCTAGATTTGGGACCCATCACTCGGAGAGGTAAGTGGCCAAATCCCAGTGACAAGACCAGCTGGCTGAGTGTTGACAGTTAACCACAGAGGCCTGAGGTCACGCGCCCAACTCCTCAGGACTTTTCTACCTCCTCAATCTGACCCTTACTAAAAAACCTATTCGTTCAGATTAATAATAACAATATAGCCATTTGGACCTCCTGTGTGCTTAGAGCCCAGACTAAGTTCTTGCATCCGTCAATTCACTTAATCCTCCCATGCCTGCATCCATTTTACAGGTGAGAAACTAAGGCTCAGAGACATTAAGTGACCCACCCAAGATCCCCCTACTCATGAGTGGCTAGAGTTAGGATTGAACCCAGCTCAGTCTGATTCCAAAACATGTGGCCTTTTCCTTATTCTATCTCCTTCCATGTCCCCATAACTCAGTTCCTTATGGGTGAAGTGTAAGTCCTAAATCTGGTTTAAATGCAACTTTGTTTTCTGGTGAATGACTGTGTTCTCCAAAATTCATTTACGGTATCCTGGAGTATGATATGGGGAGGCTTTCCAATGGCTCCTCAAATTTTCATCCATCCTACTCATGAGTTTGCAGTAGTGTTTACGTAGTGTTTTTATTTCCACCAGGAGGGAGAAGTGAAAGAATGAAAGCCCTTTTTTTCCCCTAAAGAAATTAAGATGCAGTATCTTAATAGTAGTAATAATAATACTTTCTTTATGCCTGGCACATTGTCAAATGCCTTTACATGCGTGATCACCTTGAATGCTCATAGCAGGCAAGGATGGTAAACATTACCACCATTTTTATTCTCCAGAGCAAATGAAGGCTGTCTCATGAAGAAGGCTCTGTCCTGAGGTTGTCCTACCATTTTACTAAACTCTCAACTTGAAGCCTCAAGTGGCATCACAGGGTAACTTGGTGGAGGTTAAGAACTTCCATTCTTGAATCAAACATACTGGGTTTTGAATCTCAGCTCTGCTACTGACTGGCAAGGTCAACTTGGCAAGTCCTTTAACATCACTGAGCTCCCGTCTTCTCCTCTGTCAAATGGGGAAGAGAATACCTTCCTCACAAATCTGTTAGGAGGATTGAGTCTAAAATGCATGCAATATGTCTAGAAACGTGCCTGTGCCACATCAGAGATGCCCCCACAGTGTGGATGGTCAGTGGTTGTGATGGCCAGGTCTAGGAGGATTTGAAGCAGTTATGGCCACAGTGCTGCAGTCAGTGGAGCATGACTGAGGAAACCCTCCCCTTCTGCTCTTGTTCACAGGTGCACAGTCTCCCGGTGTCATGAATGGAACCCCCGGCACTGCAGGTACATTATTTTCTCATGGCTTTCCCACAACCTTTCAACTCTCCTTCCTCTTTTCAGTTCTGCCCCTTTCATGGCCCAGATCCTATGCTAGGGACACTGACATTAATCAGACCTAAGAGTGGCTCTTGAGATGCCCACAGTTAGTGGAGGAGACAGTCCTTTAACAAGAAATATATACTGAGTGCCCACTGTGTGCCAGGCCTTGTTCTAGGCACTGAAGATGTGATGGCAAACAAAACAGCCCAGGTGCCTGCCCTCATAGAGCTTATGCACCAGTGTGGAAAGTAGAAAATAAAAGGTAAACATGATACTTTAGAAATAAAAGAAAGTAATGTGATAGAAGAGTAATAATGCCTTAAGTAAAATAGACATTCATCTCTCTTTTTTTTAACTTAAGAACTTTTTATTTCTTTTTTTAAACTTATTATACTTTAAGTTCTGGGATACATGTGCAGAATGTGCAGGTTTTTTACATAGGTATACATGTGCCATGGTGGTTTGCTGCACCTATTAACCTATCATCTAGGTTTTAAGTCCCACATGCATTAGGTATTTGTCCTAATGCTCTCTCTCCCCTTGCCCCTGACCCCTGGCAGGCCCCAGTGTGTGATATTCCCCTCCTTATGTCCATGTGTTCTCATTGTATAGACATTCATTTCTGTCACACATAAAGGAGGCTTAGAGGCAAGCTGCCCAAATCTAGTGGGGCAGCACCACAAAGTCATCAAAGACCCAGGGTCCTTCTAGATCACAGCTCCACCATCTTTGGGATATGGCCATCATCTTTATGTTCCAAGATGGCAGCCAGAGATCCAATCTTTGTATCCAGGCAGCAGGAAGGAGGGAACAAGGAAGAAGCCAATGAGTACAAACGACATTCCCAAAGCTGGCACCTTATACCTCCACTTACATCTCATTGGCTGGTGCTTAGTCACATGCCACACCTAGCTGCAAAGGAAGCTAGGAAATGTAATCTTTATTCTGGGTGGGCCATGTGCCTAAGCAACGTTTAATGGCTTTTTTAACAAGGTGGGAAGGAAGAATGACTATTAGAATGGACAAGTGGTCAGAAAAACTTTCAGAGAAAGTGATGTTTAAGCCAAATGAGAAAAATGAGTTGAAGGTGAAAATGCTAGGGGAATGAGACCCATAGGCATGGGAACACCAACAATTCATTGCACAAGTGAGACAGGCACTTGAGCAGATAAATGACAACCAGGTAGATAGTGCAGAAAGAGTATCTAGAAGATAAATTAACTGTATTGGATAAGGTCTTGAAAGAATTTCAACAGGTAGTAGCATCTGAATGGGGTTTTGATGAATGACTTGGAGCTAAACAAGCTGACTGATCAAAGAAATATCACACACACACACACACACAAACACACATACATAACATTTTTACATATTTATAGAATACTAGAAATATATTTTGGACAAAATGAAAGCACATACTATTAAGATTTGATTTCCCACAAAATGACCTATATTGATAAATCCAGACATGAAAAGGTTCTTTCCCTACTCAAAGCCCAAACTTAGAGAGCAGTTTTTAAATTTCCCAAATAAGTGCAAGATGGACTCTCTATGCTCAGTGCCAACCTTCAGACAATGCTAAGAAAAGTCATGCTCCATTAGAGTTCATTCTAAAAGCAGCTTGGGCTTGGGCGCGGTGGCTCACGCCTATAATCGCAGCACTTTGGGAGGCTGCTGAAGTTGGCTGGGAGTTTGAGAACAGCCTGACCAACATGGTGAAACCCCATCTCTACTAAAAATACAAAAATTAGCTGGGCGTGGTGGTGCATGCCTGCAATCCCAGCTACTTGGGAGGCTGAGGCAGCAGAATCGCTTGAAACTGGGAGGCAGAGGTTGTAGTGAGCCAAGATTGCACCATTGCACTCCAGCCTGGGCAATAAGAGTGAAACTCTGTCACAAAACAAACAGATAAAAAATACGCAGCTTGAAGTCAGGGACCTTTAGTCTCATTCCTTTCTGCCAGTCCTTCTGGTTAGCCCAGTGCCTGGAACAGTGTGGTTTTCCAGTTGAGTTTGCCGAATTGATTAATTTCTAGAATGGCTGATAGATTTTGCCCCTTCTGGACAAGGAGGGGATCAGTCTGATGTTGAGGCAGCTGACCCACCACAACAGGGCACTTGTGGTTTTTATTGTCTACTATCTCCCATAATCATCTTTGATGTTTTGAATTAATTCACCATCAACTTGTTTTATAATTATAATTTTTTGTCATGCACTGTGTCTGAAATTTATGGTATTTCTCTCCTCACTTCTAGGACATCAGCTAGTTACTTTGAAATTGGGGAAATGGGGAGATTTTATATTTTGGTAGTATGGCAGGAGGGCTCACAGGTTTCTCCTAGGTCTTCTGATACAAGGCAGTCATCATCTGGGATCCAAGTCCTTCACTGAAACTGAGTATACAATGATGTGCCAAAGAGACAAAATCCCAGCAGAACTAGATCTTAGAGCCTAACTTTTAAAACCAACATTTGTATAGTGTTTACCATGTGTCAGGCACTGTTCTCAATGCTTGATATGAAGTCATTCATTTAAGTCTTACAAAAATCCAATGAAGTCACAGGTACTATTAATATTTCTCTTTGGCATACAGCAAAATACAGGCACAGAGAGGTTTAGTAAGTTTTCTGGGACTGCTCAGCTAGTTGTAGAGCTGAGATGCAAAGCTAAGTAATCAGGCCTCAGAGGCAGTGCTTTTTAACCTCTATGTCTTTCTGCCTCTTCAGTATTAGTCAGCATAAGTAATGCTAGCTGCTGTAACAAACAGTCCCCATTCTTCTGTGTGTTTACACAACAGTATTGTTTCCCACTAAATCACTGTGGGAGGGAATGCAGTTCTGCTCCATGCAGTTGATAGGAGCTCAGGCTTCCACTAGTTTCTGGTAACTTCTGCCAACTCCACTATTCCCTGCAAGTCCTATCTTGGATCCCCTGCATCTGCTCCCTAAATGGTAGATGAGGGAGCAACAGGATATATAGAAGTCTTTAAGGACCAGGCATAGAAATGGCACAGATGACTTCTACATACATTTTATTGGCCAGATTCAGTCACATGGCCCCACCTACTTGCAAAGGATGCTGGGAAAAATTGCATTCCTGTGTGTCCAGAGGAAAATGAAAAAATGGTCGGTGATTAGATAGCTTTGCCTTTACCATGTGAGACCCAGAGGCTATAACCAGGCCGGATATTAAAGATACTTTGCCTTTCTCATCCTTGTGTTTGCTGCTGACACCCAAAGCCCAACGCTTGACAGTCATCTCTTTTGTATTTCAGGATTCCTGGTAGCATGGCCCATGGTCCTCCTGACTGTTCTCCTGGCTTGGCTGCTCTGAGAGCTCCCCTGAGCACCTGGCCTTGAAGTCTGTGTTCTTCCCTCTGGCAATGGTTCCCTTCAGCACTTCTGGTTCCCATTCCAATTCACACAGTCTTGGTATTAACAGACTCAAGGCTAGGCTAGGTTTAGGGAAAGGGAAGAGTTTTCACCTTCTTTAAAGCTCTTTAAAAATGCCTTTGTGTTTCTCTTTTTCTCATAGTGGGGTTCCTGTCATTCTGTCCTGGGCTGCCCTTCTCATTTGTTAATGAGACCTTGAAAGCAAGCTTGCTAGGTGCCCTCTGTGGCTCCAGCCTTTACTGGAAGTGTGGCACATGTTTTTAGCTCCAGGGAAGAGGTATCCTGTCACTGGGGTATGGGACAAGCATGCAGAAGAGGCACCAGCCATGACTCCTTTCTAAACATCTACTGTTCTGACTGCTCATGAATTGAAGACTGACCCTTGCTTTCACTCTGCTTCCTCTGATGAGTTTCTATCATGGTTTCCCAAAAATCGTCATAGGAACATCTCTAAGGGCCACTTTAGGAGGCTCTGCTCCAGGAAAAACTAGTCCCCATCCCTCCCCTATCCCCTGCCATGCTGGAGACATGCTGTGACTTAGAGAACCATGCAAACATCCTTGGGACCTGGATGCTGGAGGAATGAACTTGACTTTGATGCAGAAACTCCATCACCCAAGGGAACACCTCTTGCTGTAAACAGTGCTGTGCTTGCTCGGAAGGATTAAGCAGGGAGTCCCAACAGAAGTAATGCACCAGTCCTGCTATGGAAATGTAACTGCAAAGCCTCGGAGATTGGTGAAGTCCCTTTCTGGAGACCTTTGAAATGAGTATTTCAAAGCACTCCACAAAGATGCAACAAATAGGGCATCATACATACACAGGCATTAATACTCATGGCATATAGATACCGACATGTGTACCCTGACTTATGCCCTTCCCACAGCTACAGATAAGGCCTCGCAAAGCTGACCTCAGGGGACACATCAGGAGCCAAGGTGGACCAGCAGGCACCAAGCCTGTGTATCTCCTTGGAGGATATGTTTCAATGTGCTGTGTTGTTCAGAGATGTTGTGGTTGCAGGAAACAGGAACCCACTATAATTTCTCAGGCCAAAGGGGAGTTAATTATAAGGACATAGGAGCACAAAGTTCAAGTGCAAGAGATACATAAATGCTGCACAAACTCTAGGAGTGAGGCCTGGCGAGCCAAAAGAAACCAAAGTTTGTCTTTCCTTTAGTCCCTCTTCTGGAAGTCACATAGCTTTTTATGACTGCATATCTTTGCTTCTCCTTTGTTTTCCTTTTCTGTCTCTGAAGCTAGCTTTTCCTGTTCACTTATCCCTTGATTAAATATGGACATTCCAGCTTCACATCACTTCCTAATTCAGGGACTAACAGAGACTGATTAACATGCTGCTGTCCCCCCTCCAAATTGCATCAGGGAATTTGATTTTGCTGCTTGGGTCAGGGTCCAATAGTCTGGGCCAAGGGACTGGGACCATCTAACACACAGCCAAAGGGGCTGACCTGATGAAGAAGGTCTCACACGAATGGGGTTGTTTCTTGGACAGACATCCCAAAGGCCACTATGATAGTGGCTTCTCTAAAAGAGGGGTTCTTGAGAGGAATTGCCTTCTGTTTCCCAGTGAGTTAGAGGAGTCATACTTACTACATCCCAAGGCAGGTGGCATGGTAGAACTAGGCCTGAAAGAGAGGTCAGGTTCTAAGCTTCTCCCCTCTCTAAGGCTCAGCAGTTCCCTTCTCTAGAATAAAAGGGGTTGGTCTGTAACAAGATTTTCAAACATTTGTAGTAGTGGAACTTTAAATACAATTTAACATGAACATCCAATATGGAGAGATTAAAAGCAAATTGATTCTTGTTGATGTCAGATGGAGGGCTTAGCTCTCCCATTCTGTAATTTCTTTCTCTGCAGGCCCTCAAATCAACTCCATAATAACTCGCAGTGCTGCCAGAGCCAAAGTTTTGAAGCTCCCTGAGACATATGAACTTTAATATAACTTCCAGGATAAAGTACCTAGGATTCCATTTAGAGCCAATCCTAGCTATCTGTCTGGCTGTCTACCTATCATCTATCTATCTATCTACCTACCTATCTATCTCTCTTCTATCTGTCTACCATCTACCTACTATCTACCTATCATCTATGTACGTACTTACTCAGTTATCATCTAGCTAGCTAGTTACACCTTCCTGTTCTTCACAAATGGTCATGTTGTCTGAATAACAATCTCTGAATGTCCAGTCCATTTCATTCATTCAGTCAACACAAATTTGCTTAGCATATCCCAGGTCCTGGGGCCTGGGTACACTAATTAATTAGACGCAATCCCTTCCCTTGGAAGGTTCACAATCCTGGCAGAACACAAACGCACACAGAGAAACTCACAAGCAAACCACAACACACAGGCTCAGTCGCCCCCAAGCACAGGCCTGTATACCCAGAGGAGTCTATCCATACCAACACACACATTCCAACAGACACACACATCAACCTCATGTGCCCAGAGGCACAGATGCACATGCAGAAAGCCTCAGAGATCCTCAAGCCAGCCACTTACCTATTTTTTGCCATGAAGTACTTTACAACAACCAATATTTTTAATACCCCTTATGTAGAAGGCGTTATTTTAAGTGGATTGTGGGCATTATATCATTCCACTCTCACATTAGACATTGAAGGGTTACCTTCAATTTAGTGATGAGTAAACCAATGCTTTAAAAAGATAATTACTCAAAGGCCTATAGTTTTGTGTTTGTTTGTTTTTTTAGACAGAGTCTCACTCTGTCACCAGGATAGAGTGCAGTGGCACAATCTCAGCTCACTGCAATCTCCACCTCCCGAGTTAAAGCGATTCCCCTGCCTCAGCCTCCCACGTAGCTGGGACTACGGGCCACACCACACCCGGCTAATTTTTTGTATTGTTTTTGTAGAGATGGGGTTGCACCATGTTGGCTAGGATGGTATTGAACTCCTGACCTCGTGATCCACCTGTCTTATCCTCCCAAAATGCTGGGATTATAGGTGTGAGCCACCATGCCCAGCCAGGCCTATAGCTTCTAAATGCTGATTTCAGAGCTTGAACATGGATAGCCGGACTTTGAAGCAAATCCTCTTAACTAGACACTGTATTCTGCCTCCATTTATATACAACAGTGAACGCACACACACACATAAACACACACACACAGTGCAGCACTCATATACACACATATGTATATATGTATGTATATATGTATAACATATATGCACCCACTTGCCAACAGGTATGTGGACAGACGCATGCATTCGCCAGCAAAGGCCCTCACACATACACAGGCATTAATACCCCTGGACATATAGATGTTGACATGTGTACACTGGCTCATGCATCATGGTTTAGATGCACATACATACATGAAACTTTACATATAACTTCATACAGAAAAAAAACCAGAGACACTTCCATCCAATACTCATGCACACACATATACGTCTGCACATGCATGCATATGTATATATATATGAACACACACACATTTCTACAAGACACAGGATCTGGATCCAACTCTCCAAGACCTGGGACTCCTGCCATGTTTCTCTCCCATCAGCTTGCATATCCCTGCACCCCCAGTGCTGTTCCACTGGGTGCTAGGGCAAGATAAATTCCAGCTGCAGAGAGCTCAGTGAAATGGGCCTGGGACCCAGCATCTGAAAGTTCTGGAGAATAAGGATGTTGGGGATAGCAAGAAGCAACCTGAAAACTAGTCTTCTATACCCAGGGAGACTGGCCTCTCAGGCCTGAAGAAGCCCTTGCAAGCAGCTGGTGAAGGATGCCAAGTGGCTTAAAGTGCCCTGCCCTCCAAGAACTTCAACTTTTCTCGGGGAAACAGCATGGGGATGCCAGGCAGCAAAGGCTTAGTAGTGTGAGACTGAGACAGACATTGCAAGACTCAGAGAAGGGAGAGCTCCGCTCAGCCTGGGAGAAGAGGCAGGGGTTCAATCCCAGTTCCTTCATTTCATGGATGGAAATTGAGGTCCAGCAAAGACAAGTGGCATATCTATCCTTTATGACCAGGTGGGGATGAAGGGGTCAGGGAGAAAGGTAAAACTGGTCACCGGAAGGAAATTTGGCATGGGAACCTCAGAGGATAAACCCCACCCATCCTAACTCATTTTATAATCTCTCCTCACCTGCTTCCTCTCTTCCAGCCTCTTCTTCCTGTGAAGAGCCAGAAATCACCTTCCTTATCATATTAGATTCTCCCTTCTAAAACTCTATCAAATCTATCCACTTTTCTTCATCCCCATTGAATCTGATCTTTTCCAAGCTGCTGTCATCTCTCACTAATAGCTTCTTAAGTGGCCTGTCTCCAGTCTCACCTCTCTCAATCCATTCTCTACTTTGTTTTAAATGGTGGCCATTTAAAACAAGTCACTTTCTCCTTTAGATCCCTCCAGAGACTCTTTACTTTCTATAGGATGAGTTCTGACTGCTTAGCTGACAGATCATGTTCTCCACCCTCTGAGCCATTACCAGTCTCTCCAGCCTTAGCCCTTAAACATATCCCCTTCATAATCCAGGTTCCAGTACCACGGAATTTCTCAGGCTCCGTGAGCTATTCTATTGCGCTGTACCCTACTTTTGTGTGCTGTTTTTGCTGCCTGAAAGGCCCTTTCTTTCACTGGGGCTATTTCTCCTGTGAAGGCTTCCTGGATTCCCCTGTTCAGTGTAGAGTGGACAAATCAGTCAGTAATCAACCAGAAATGACAAATGACAGAATCAGCAGAATGTCAACACAGTTTAATAAATACATTCCAGTTTTTTCAAGAAAGTAGAGAAAAGTTTGAGCATGATGAGAGAAAAAGGAAGATACGTATTTAAAAAAACTACTACCCTACTTTATGACCTCTTCTCTACAAACTTTTTGTTTTTGTTTTTTGAGATGGAGTTTTGCTCTTGTTGCCCCAGGCTAGAGTACAATGGTACGATCTAGGCTTGCTGCAAACTCCGCTTCCCAGGACTCTCCTGCCTCAGCCTCCTGAGTAGCTGGGATTACAGGCGCCTGCCACCATGCCTGGCTAATTTTTGTATTTTTAGTACAGACGGGGTTTCACCATGTTGAATAGGCTGGTCTCGAACTCCTGACTTTGTGATCTGCCCACCTCAGCCTCCCAAAGTGCTGGGATTACAGGCATGAACCACCGCACCTGGCCCTCCGCAGACTTTCATAATCACATGTATCATCTGCATCTGAAATTCTGTTTTTACATCTGTCCCACCTGCACCCTTCATCCCAGACTATTAGTCCCTTGAGGACAAGGACCTCACCATATTCAAACATTAATGGTCGAAGATATGAAGAAACAGCCTGCATCCTTTCTTCTTTATCCTTTTACTTCCTCAATCATCATGCCATTATGGTCCAGAAGGAGAAGAAACAGCTTCACAGAAAAAGTAGAGGAGATTTTCCCACTTGAATAATTATGGTGAAAGTGCCAAATCAGAATGTGAAATAGGAATTCTGGGGTCTGTACCAGACATTCACTCCCTTGCTGTTAGCTGATGTTAAGGAGGGTGGATTTCTTTTTCTCTTAGGTCTCATCTTCTGTGGCTTCAGGGGATATTGGTTGGAAGTTTGAATGGTTCATTGTTGCCATCACTGTTTTGCATTTAAGGAGGGCTGGGGCCGGGCGCGGTGGCTCAAGCCTGTAATCCCAGCACTTTGGGAGGCCGAGGCGGGTGGATCATGAGGTCAAGAGATCAAGACCATCCTGGTCAACATGATGAAACCCCGTCTCTACTAAAAATACAAAAAATTAGCTGGGCATGGTGGCATGTGCCTGTAATCCCAGCTACTCAGGAGGCTGAGGCAGGAGAATTGCCTGAACCCAGGAGGCGGAGGTTGCGGTGAGCCGAGATCGCTCCATTGCACTCCAGCCTGGGTAACAAGAGCGAAACTCCGTCTCAAAAAAAAAAAAAAAAAAAAGGAGGGCTGTTCTGGAAACAATACAATGGTTATTCTTGGAGATAAGTTGAGAGAAACTCAAGAGATCTGTTGTTTAAAAGTGTGTGGCACCTCCCCCCCAACCCCTCCCTCTCTACTCCTGCCCTAACTATGTGGCATGCCTGCTCCTGCTTCACCTTCTGCCATGAGTTAAAGCTCCCTGAAGCCTCCCCAGAAGCCAAGCGATGCCAGTACCATGCTTGTTTTGCCTGTAGAACCGTGAGCCAATTAAACCTCTTTTCCTTATTAAAAAAAAAAAAAAGAGTGATTATTTAATGGCAGGAGGGAAAAAAAGAAGCAAATCTATAAAGAGCTTGGGACCCCAAGTCCAGAACTTAATGCATATAGCAGCCAATCAGCAATCAA